GTTTAAAGAGGAGCTAGGGAAACAGGAGATTAGGATTAGGAACTTGTTGGACAGGAAGACCACGTACTGAGATCTAGGGGAAGAGACTGAGCCTGGCTTGGCAAAAGAGAAAGGAACTTTAAACTGGAGGGAAACTGGGGTAGGAGCAGGTGGGACTGAAAATCATTTGGATTTTGGAGAGGGATAATGGCAGAAATGTGAGCCAGTTGGAGGGAAGACGTCAAGTAAATGTGAGCCCAGGAAGTAGCTTGTGACAGGTGAGGTAAGGAGACTTGTGCAAGCTGCTCAAGGTAGTAATTTGGGATTAGAAATGTATGATAGAAAACTGAAATTGGATGAGAAGACTGTGATGAGTTGCTCAATGTGGGAAACTGGGACTATGTAAGGAAGACAGATCTGATGACAAGCCCACAGGATGCTTGAACAGAGCAAGCAGTCGTGGGGGAGACAGTATAATGACAGGCTGGAGGTGATAAGGAAAAAATAGGTTTAGAAGGCTTGGGAATAATTAAGGCAGAAGAATCTATAAATATTACAATAATAATTAATAAAAATACAATATTCCTCTAGAATATGGAAGGGAAGCAAACATTTATTCCAAAATAATGGAACAAAGAGGCAGCCCTGGAATTTATTATTCCAAAATAAATGTGTGTCAGTGAAGTACAAGTAATAGTGTCATAGAAAGCTCATGAGGAAATTAATAATTAGATCTGTGAGTAGGGATAATGGTGTGCTGCAAATAAGGCAGGGGCAATACATTGGACAAAAAGGAGAAAATAAAATATTTAGGATCTGCTCTTGTGATGATCGCTGTCCATCCTGCACATTGAATAGGGCAGGGATTCTGCAGGAAATAGTGCCTGATCATTAGTTAAAGACTATGTCATAGTAGGCATCTGTCTGTCTAGAGCAAGACGATAGAATTACGCCAAGTGAGACATCAGCTTGCTGAACATAATCCTCGCTTGAAAGATAAAGCGAAGCCAAGAATGATCTCTCCAGGGTGCAAAAGCCTGGATAGTGTATAGGCAGACAAGGTTCTTTGGATAGTGTATATGGAGACATTGATCTGCCTACACACCAGTGTTACCCTCGGCCTTGCTGGTTTATCCAAAGGAAAGGCAGGTACCAGTACACTTGGAACCAGCGTGGTCACAGGAGGTGCCAGAGAAAAGGAGATCATGCTTTTGTCCCCCTATTGGGGGTCAACTCCTAGACTGGCTGCCGACCAGGGCTAAAAAGCCCAGTCTACCCCATTATGGAGTGGACTTCAGTTCCACAGCTTTTTGGTGGCATTTCTTCTGCCAGGGGTAAAACCAGTAGCCTCCTGGATATATATTCTATTGTAACATTACTCAGATTTTAAAATTTCAGAAAAACTGTAAATTCTTTTATTTATCTGTATATTTGCTTTACTGCAGAACAGGAATGGAAAGCTTACTTACTCTTCCTTCTTCACCTTCAGTTGTAACACAATATAAAAACACATGTGAAGAGCCTCCATTCTTTCTTGCAGCTGCAATCTATCTTACTATGTCATAATAATACAGACTCAAACAGGCACCAGGGTTAGGTTGGATGAGTAAGCTCTGCTCTACCATTTTCTAATTTCTGAGTGTATTGGATGTGCAACCATAATGTTCCTTTTATGTAGGTTTTTTGTGTAAAGATAATATTGCTTTATGAATCACCCCCTATTCTACTGTAGATAGGTGCACAAATGATCCAAGGGTCATTTTCTACCTCTCCCCATGCTTTATTGACTTTTGCTATCTCTCATTCACACTACTTCATAGTGGCTAAAGAAAGTGATTTAGTGATGTTTGTACCAATTAACATATTCCAGTTTCAAACTGATTGTTAATCAGGTTACCTCTGAAGTACAAATCAGATCTTCATTGGCTTAAAGGTATTTGGAAAGTGTCAAAGCCACTTGTAAAATGCTGTGGGTTCTGGTGAGCTAGTATTTACATCCTTTTACATTAACTCTGCAGCTTCATCTATTTGCTCCCAGTGGCTTCAAGAAGTGTTTGGAAATGTTAGTTGATGGCCAATACAGCTGGTTAATGACAATGATGCAAGTCGGGAATTGTAAATGAGCTGAAGAACCATGACTGCAGTTGTGCAGCTGCTGCCAGCAGCCACTTTTCTTTTTGCCTCCATTCCCCAGTTGGTGCATGGGGCATTTGCTCCATTTGCCCCATCCTCATTATGCCACTGTGGATGTACCCTGAATATCTCTCTCACTTATTCACTGATGCACTGCCCTCTCCATTTTCCTCAAAAATCCCATCTGCTCCATAAAAAAATCCAGTTCTAAGACTATGTGTTACTGTGGCCCCCTGCCTATAATGGGCTGAGCACCTCCTGTGCACTTCTGAGTGTCTTCAACTTACAGCTCTGAAAGGACTTATACCACATCTACATGGCACAGTGGCAAAAGAACCATTGCCCTTGTCTACCCTAGACTGCTCCCCTGAAACTCCCCACCACCTCTAATTTCCATGTAGCTATGAAGGCTTAGCTATTCTAGGAGTACTAGTCTAGACTAGTCACTTTTGGTCACCAGTGCTGTAACCACCACTTTTGGTCACCAGTGCTGTCATTTCCATGCTTGGAAACAGAGTGCATGATAGTTAAAACCCTGGCAGCTGATCTACTGTAGTGACTATGCCACTGTTAGCACATGTAGCACTAATGGGAACTTTTAAAGAAAAAAAAATAAAGTGTAGAAACCCCATAGATATTAACAGGAGCATGATTATAACCTGAAAATATTTATTTTCATTATCAGGCAGAAAAACCTCAGCTCTACCCATGAGCACGTCCTTTGTGTGTGCTCACGGGATCATACCCATTTTGTGTATTCAAACTGTGAGAAACTCAAGGGAATGTTTTTTTATTTGCTAATATAGTTATTATAAAACACTTTATACATTTATAATACTATGCACATCATAATTATAATGTTATATCCAGTAAAGAAGATGCCTCTAGAATGAACGGTCAGAGCAAACCATGTTGGACAAGGAAACGTTTACATGTAGAAACATCTCTCGACAAGTCTACATATTAAATACTCACCCAATTTTAGAAGCTTGGCTATAGAAATACTTTCCAGAGTCAGATCCACAAACACAGTCCTGGAAAAAATGAAACAGCAACAGACAGTATGAATTCCCCTGACCTTGCAGTCCCAGGGTCAGGCATCTTTTTTGTACTTTTGTCCCATTAACAATAGATTGTGCCCAAGGTTTTTGCTTGATTTAACATATTGTCTTCATTTCAGTTATCTATCCCCTTCCTTTTGCAGAAATTCTCATGGAGTATCAGCTTTTTTCTGTTTTGTAGCAATTTATCCCAAACTTATTTAGGATTTTTTTTATTTGTAATACTGGAAAAATGAGTTTTGGTACAGTTGTTCATTCTGTATGATGATAAAGTGCTGTGGGAACAGGAAATTCGGCCATTTTGAATTTTTTTCATTTAAAATAGGATTGAAAATTAATTTAAAAATCCTCCATGAAACAGCACTTTAAAAATAATATTTTGTTTAGGGTCAAATAAAATGTTTCCTTTTTATAGAGGCAAAACATTTTATATAGGTTATGACTTTTTAAATGTTATATTAGAATTTGTAGTACTGTATAAAATAAAATGAATCTCCAAATTACAAGTCATTTCAAAACAAAAAAAGCATTACCATTCATTTCCAATCAGTTCAAAATGTTTCATTTCAATTGTTTTTTAAAAAGACATTTTGTGAACGTGCTCATATTCCTGTGGAACATTTTGACTGAATTTTGACTGAGTCTTCATTTTTGTCACAAAAAAATGTTAGTCCAGTAAAAAATGTTAGGCCAGATGTACTCATTAGGCAAAATTCCTATTAAATTCTGTTGATAGTAAGCAGTCACACTAGAAATCTGATTGTAATATTTCTGGATCCAAACCTAGTCTATAAACTATGCATTGGCATTAGTGAGACTATTGTGAACTACTTGTGTAAATGTTTTGGGGATTGGCACCCAAGTGACTTAAATAGCCAACTACAACTAACTAACACAACTCAAATTTGAATCTCAGCTTTTGAAGAGTGAATTACCTTCTTAAAAGTAGTCTATGAAATATTATTAACTATTTACTACAGCTAAGAAAATCAGGATTATCTAATGGGTATCGTGAATGGAAAGAAGTGTGAAAACAAGTTTTAAAATGCTGCATTCATTGAGCTGTCATTATTTGGGTGAAACTAGCAGAAAAGGAATTTATCATATTCACCAGTTAACAGTATAATTAGGTGAATAATCCTTAATAAAGACGTACTTATTAAATTTACCTTATTTTAATTGAAAACTGGTTGTGATCTTCTTAAATTTATTATTCAAAATGGTTCACCAGCTCATTCATTGTTTTGTAGAGTATTTTAGTATAAAAATGTGAAATTCAGGATCTTTTAATTCGCCACACAGGTCCACGAATAAGTTTCTATTTTCAAGTTGGGTGAGTGCAGATGTTACCTTTTAGAATCAAATTTGTATGTATTTCTTTATATTCTGCAATGTTTAATTAAAACTTACTGTTTCAGCAAACATTACTGGCAGTTAGCTCTTCACTGGAATAAGCATGAAAAGGAAGTAGAACTATTAATGCTGTGTCTCTGATATTGATTCGGGCCTTTAGTCACAACTACAGAGAGAGAGTATAATGTAGTATAGCGTAAGGTGGCTGGAATTACTGCTGTTAATAATAATAAGCTTAATTGAATGAAGTATACAGATTTAAAAATGACTACAATAATTTCTTGGAAAAATTTAAGAATGTCTTCTTTGGGAGTTTTGCCTGAGTAATAACTGCAGATCCAGGCCTCCAGACAGTATCTGGTTTGCTTATTGTTAATATTATATTATTTAAAAGTTCCCCTGTCTTTGACAGAGCAGAGTAAGATGACAGGAACAAACTGCAATCCAAATAATACAAATCAGTGCCAATGTATATACAATGTAAACGTTTATAATTTATTATGCATTTAAATGTGCACAGCACATACACCACAATATTGAACAGCACCTGTATAAAACTACAGACAGATTCTGGTAAATGGTGAAAGCTCATACCATGGAACACCAATATAAAGATTTTACAACAGTATTTGAAAGTTACAACTACCTCTGAATACATGTAGGATGAGGTGGTCAGCTGTGGATTTTAATGGAGTGAAAGGTGACATAGGAGAAACATTCTTCAAATGAATTCTTCGCAACTTTGCTTTCTGAAACTTGGAAACAGTGTGAGGTTTCAGAGGTAGTGGCAATAATTACACAGATGATTACTCACATACAGAAAACAAAGAAAGTACAGAAATCCCCCGAATTGCAGAAAAATCCATGAGCACCACACTTGCCAGGTGCTCCCTTGCTTTGACTTTGTTTTAAACTCTGTTTTAATTTTGAGCAGCAGCAGTAGATGGTTTAAGATCTGGTCCTGCTAATACTTGGATCTCACTGAACTTCTGATAAGCAGCTTTATTCTTCAAGGTCATTTGTCAGTACAGTATATAAGCAAGTATATGTGAGTGTAGTAGAATGGAAACTTTTCATATAGGAATGTAAAAAGAAAATCAAGATGAACTCAAATCATTGCAGCTTTGTGATTTGTACCTGTTCAAAATTCATTAGTTTAATTTGGAAGATGATTTGTAAACATCCTCTAAGAATATTAAATTCATATTAAAATCATACTCTAAACATTGTAGTCAGTCTTGGTTGCAACTTAAGCAAGTTATGTCCAAATGATAAAGTAGCACGTTTAAAACAAATTTAAAGCTTGCCATCATTTTGGGCTCTGCACTCCTCTCCCCACCCCCTCCATGATCAAACCTGTCTTTCCTTCATCGCTTTAGAGACACGGGTTACATTTGCAAAATATATAAAGAAAAATATAGGGTTACTTGATGACCATATAGTGCTGCAGCCTGACAGCTGTCTGCAAATATTTTCTCCATGATTATCCTTACTAAAAGTAAATCACTGGGTAAAGATAGCTCAAACGTGACAAGGCTCAAATAGGACGCAACCAACTCTATCTCGAATTCTTTTGGCTACATATGGAAAAAAAAGAGATTTGGGATTGCAAAGATCATCCCCTCCCTGCCACTGGAATTATAATACTGAACAGAAAAGTGTGCACCATCTATGCAGATTTTGTTAGGAGACTGGCTTCAAGGAGTTAGTGAGGTAGAAATTAATGAACTTTGTCAGGGAATGAGACACAGAGAAGAGCAGCATATTTCTCCTTCCAAACACTGCATTTGAAATTAATAATAAATAAATATAAAACAACTTCAATTGCTTGAAGCCAATCTGACTGTTGTCTATAGAGTTTCTTGGAAAATGTATTTTGATTATAGTTTTTAAAAATTACTTGTGCTCTAGAGTTTCATGATCTTTGGAACATACATGTCGTCTCCAAACTTGAAGAGGGAATTTTGATTTGAATCAATATACTTAGCCTATGATAGCATATTTTACAGCATGTGTGTGTTGGGGGAGGGGTAGACACACACTTTTTCAACCTAATATGCAAAGCAATCATGTAATATGAGCTTCCTCTAAGGGCCACAAAAGAAATTATGCTCCTATGTATCTAAACAGAAAGAGGGGAAAAATGGAGCTTATATAGTTGCTTAAAGGGTCTCTACTGCCTAGCAGCTCTACTAAGATTGACTGCAGGAAAGTTCAAAGTTCAGCACTGGCAGATCTAAAAACAGATTTGTGGGGTAGTACTTCAACACTGCACTTTCTGTACCAGAAGAAAACGGATACTGTTTCAATTAAATAGCAACACTGCACAAAGGAGGTCAGACATTGTATGTTGCTACAAGCTAGCATCAAAACTGAGAAAGGTTTGCACAGCTCATTTTCAAAGACTAAGACCTTATCTGGTGGCAATATTTTGTTTTGTTTTTTAAGAAGAAAACAAACAAATATGAGTACAAGAACAAACACCATACAACACACAAACAGTGCAAAACATTGTAATATAGGAATCGAATTTCACTTGTTTTAAAACACATAATAGCAGCACACCTGTGAGAACTTAAAAAAAAGGTTAAATAAACCACAATGCAGAAGTCTTCCACTGTTGCACCATTAAATGACATCCCTTGGGTTGGAGGTTTGCTCTGTTTTGTTTTTTAGAAATAAAAAAAAATCAGGGCTATAAATAATTTTGTGGCAATATATACATATTTAAATAATTAATTTAAATATTTTACACCTACTCTTGCATAAAACTCTCCAATAAAAGTGCACCATGTTTTCCCCCAAGCCTGTGTTTTGTCTCTTCCCCTGCACTGAGGTAGGTCTGAAGGGAGATGTCTCAGATTCTAGGTAGAAAATGTGTCACTGTCATTGTGGGAGACACCTTGTTGCCTTTCTTTGTTCTTCCATTTTTGCTCAGAGCTATGTACATCCCAGGGTAAATTCTGGACTCGTAAGCATTGTAGTTGTTTGGCAGGAGAATCTCTTTGAATTTACATTCATCATTGAAATGGGTCTGAAATAAAAAGAAAAGGGAAGGGAGAGGGAGAAATTAAATATCAGACATGGAAATAGTATTGCCACCAGGCGTAGGCCTGATGGAGGAAAATGCACAGCTGATTTTTTCTCCTGGAAATCTTTTGAAGTGATTGTCGGACTGAAGCTTCAGACAACCCATCAGAGGCCACCCATTAAGGTTTTTAAGATCTGGGTCATATGTTTGAATGGACTAAGAGCATCTAGTCCCAGTGTCTACATACTGGTGGAAAAGTGAGACCCTTTTCATGGCAGATAGTGCAGCTCTATAATTTTAAGGCCAAATTCTGTTCACTTTCTCTTGTAGAGCTAGTCAGTGGGCCTTCTCCTCATTTGCCAGAGGCAGGATTTTAACTTTTAGTCCTCACATGGCTTTCTATGGGCATTCTGAATTGTAATCACATACGTCATGTTATTTAAACATAAAAAACTATTGAGCTCCCTGAGTTTACTGTACAACTAACAACAACGATTTCTTGGCTTCCAAAAATATTCACTGCATTTCCAGCAAGAAATGACATGGGATTTCTCATAGCTCAGAAGTCTCCAAATATTAACCTTCCCCCCCCCTTCTCCCACCTTCTTTGAAGAGGGAAGAGGGAAAGCATTTTAAAGGTACTTACAATAATATTTACACACAGTATTTACAGTATTTCCTCCTTCTTAAATCTTAGTTTTGAATGAGAAGCTTGAATCCATCAAAGAGACCAGGCAAGCAGACAGGGATGAAAGTAAGTAACGTGCAGTGGTTGGTTAGGCAGGCATAAAGGGAGCAGGTGTTGCAGGTGTCCCCAGGTACTGATACCAGTGCAGCTAAAAGCTGGCTCTGGCAGGTACTGTAGTAACAAATGGAGTCATGTCTATTATTAATGGCTTCAAAACCCAGTTTTGTTAGGGTGAGAGCTCCACCTGCCACAGTGAGCCTGCAGGGGAGAACAGTGGGTATTAGGTCACCCAAAGCACACAAAGCAGCAGAATGGCCCCTTTAGAAATGTTGCCAGGGAAGATGTACTGTGAGAGCCTGTGCCTGCCTTGATTGTAGTCAATGGAAAAAGTCCTTTAGACCAGTGGTTTGCAACCTTCTTTTGTACCAGGACCCATCTCTAAACATTGATGGCCAGTCCCAACCCAGTGCCCCTCACTCCTGCCTCCCTGGCCCCCTCACATCCTAGTGTGTGGGGCAGAGGGTGGGGGGCCAGCAGCCCCTTGCAGGCTGGAGCTCTGTCAGCCTGCAGGGGAAGAGTCACAGTTTCCCACATTTTAAAGGAGAATCCATTTTTAAAGTTTGTTTGTGACCCTGTCATATATTCTGGTGACCCACTTTTGGTGGAGAACCACTGCTCTAGACTCTGCTGGCAGAGGATCAGGCCCTCAGAGAATTGCTCTGGATGCTTCACAGTCTTATTCAGGCAAAACTTCACTGCCAGCTTGGGCTGAGCTAGGGAGGGTGGGATCTGCCCCTTGTTCAACCAAAGGGCCTTCTAAATGCATGTGGGGAGACTGGAAAACAGACACGGCATTGATAGCAAAGCCAGCCTGAAACTAGAATGCTCCATGCAGGATCACAGGGCTGCATGATGCTGCCCACAGTCACTCATACAAAGGGGAAAGCAACCAGGCGAGGGAAAGCTGGAAGTGACCAGAAACAAGACTTGCATTATTATTCTTCCAACCAAGTGGGTTCAACCAAATGAAATCCTTTTAACTCTTTGCTCCCAAGATGATTATCTTGTAAGGTCCCTCCCAGCCCCTAGCATCTCTGCAGTGTCAAACCGCGGGCTCAGCCTCCCCTTCTCTCCTGCCCTACCAGATTTGCTTGGCGGGCGAGGTAGGAGCCCCGAGATGCCTGCCTGTCCGTCAGCAGCCTGCCGCAGCCTTCCCAAACAGCGATCACTCATGAGCTGTCGGCTATTGACTTGTCTTGCCATAAAAGATCACACGTGGGACTGATCAGAAGCTAAAGTTCCCCCGGAGGAACGGAGCAGGTACATGGATACCTGATTGAAGCTGTTAATATCTGGGGGGTGGGGGGAGTTTCCCCCCTGAATCCAGACTGGCATGTGGGCTTGCCAAACAAAGGGATTACTGTAGTTGTGGACATACTTAACAATATGGGTGGTCCATGGTTGAGTGACTCTATTTTCCGCCCAGTAAGTGCATCCCCTGGCTGGGGAGGCAAAGAATGGCGTTGACATCAAAGGCTCCGCCGCAGTCGCAGCCGTGCACCGCACACCTTGCAGTCACCGCCGCACCAAGGCTGCTCCGGGGAGCTGGGCCGATGGCGACCCGCGGCACCCCGCGCCCTTGCCAGCACTTCCCCGTACTTACAGAGCCGTAGAGTTTGCCTTTGCTATTCATGGCTACGAAGAGGCCACTCTTCACGCCAAAGAGGCTCACCACCCCCCTTTCCACTGGAGAGATCTCGAGCAGACCTGTGGGCGATGCAGAAGGAGTCAGATAGCAGATGTCCTGCAAGAATGCGGGATTACATTACTGCGCCTTCATCTGCGGGGAGCCCAGGGCCACTCCAGCCCGGTCCCCCCCAGCCAGGCTGGACTATAATGTTCCTAACTCCTCGGCCCAGCTGCCTGCAGGGTCACGATTGCTCTTTGTGTCAGGCAAGCTTCTTGGAGTGGAGGCGATATCTTTTATTAGACCAGCTGAGTCGCTGGGGAGGGGGCTGGAGGGGGGGGGGTTCTTTACAAGCTTTGCAAGCACCCTTCTTCAGGCATGTCTTTGTGGCAGGTTTCCAACCAAGCCACTGCCTGGAGTCATTCATTTCCCTCGGATTTGGCTAGACTCTGGGTCCTTCCCCCGGTTAAAAATAAGTAGCAATAACGTCGTGGCAAGTGAACCATTTGTCACGGTGCTGCCTCCCCCACCCCTCCCCGATCCTATTGTTTCAGTTGGGTATCAGATAGAGTCACGGGCCACGGGGTTAAGACACGAACAGATGCTTGTCGATTGGGTTCTCCTCACTCCTGGCGATGGCATTGCTCCCAAATGAGCGTCTGGGGCGGAAAAAAGAAGAGGCTGCCCGCTGTGGGCCGAGCATCCAGATGTTGGCGTGGGCAGAACACCTGGTTCTTTCCGATAGCAGGACAAATATTGCTTTAAGCAATTCCAGCCTCACACACAAGCCTCCTGCCCACGTCCCTCCCGAGCAAGTGCCTCATTGTTAGCCCCTAAAGGTGATGACGAATAAAAATAGAAGTGAAGGCAGGAGCAAGGGGGAAAAAAAGGAAAGAAAAACAGCCTTTCCCCATTGATCCCCGCGGCTCATGGGTGCCCCTGAAGCCTATGTGTGTTTCGCACACATGCTGGAGACGTGCTCTTTTTTTCTTTTCTTTTCTTTTCTTTTTCGTGGCTCATCTGGGGGTCTCCTGCAGGATCGGAGCTACCGAGCTGAGACCCCGGGTCCCCCTGCGCCGCAGCAAGGCGGCTGGTGCAGCTTCATTTGGACCGTGCTTCTTTGGGCTGCTTTGCAGCTGACTTTGGAAAGCCGCTCACAAGACCTAGGTAACCAGCTGCAAGAACACCCCCCAGAAAAGGGGCCCTTGCGCTGCTCTGTGCAAGGGGCTACAAGAGGCACTCTTGGGAGAGCGGATCTACTTTCTAGATGGTGGAAACACAATCAATACCCCCCCCCCCGCCCTGGGGAGGAAACAAAAAATCCTTTTAAAAAACAACAGAGGTCTCTGCTCCAGGGGGACTTAAGGGAGGGCACCGGCCCGGGCAGCGGGGTCAGCAAGCAGGTGAGTTGCGCTGGAAGCCACCAGCGAGCCGAGCCCTAGATCCGCTCTTGAAACCGCCCAGGTGGGGGGCACGGGGAGGGAGGGAGGCAGAGAGAGAGCGGGGCGGGGGGGAGAGCGAAAAAAAAGACGAGAAGCCGCTTACTGTATCGATTTTCGTTGTGAATCCCGTTGATTCTGCCGTCTGGCAAAACTTGGATGTGAAACCCGATGCCCACGTTGCAGTAGAGACGTCGCAGCCTCTTGATGCCCAGCAGATAGTCCCCGTCCCGGCTGAGCTCCTTCCTCTCCCCCGGGAGCCGGGCCATGGAGCGAGAGAAGAGAGTCTCCCAGCGCCACTCCAGGGTGTCGTTGTGCTGGGCAGCGAAGGGGACGCAGCGCGCCACCCAGGGCGAGAGCAGTCCCAGGAGCAAGATTGGCAAGAAGGCCGAGGGGAGAGTCATCCTGATCAACATGGGCAGCACACGTGGTTAGAAAGGGAGTCAATTGCTCTAAAAATACCCTCGCCTCCGAGCTCCCACTTTATACTTAGATCAAAGAAAAAAAAAAAGGAAAAGAAAAAGGAGAAGAAGTAGCAAAGGAGGGAACCCAGTAGCTCAGTCCCCAGAGGAGCTATGGTTTTCCTGGTCAGGTTGCATAGGGGAGGAATCCTGCGAGCCAGGGGAGGGAAAAAAAAAGGAAGAAAAAAAAAACCCCAAGAAAAAAAAAAAAACAACAAACCAACACAACCCCAGGAGGACCGGCTCAGCTGAAGCTTATTCTGAACTTGATCTCAACTCCAGAAGTCTTGTCTGAAGTGTTGATCTTCTTCTATAGCTGCTCAGCCATAGCGCTTTAGCCCTGGCCACGATATTTATATATCCATGTGCGTTGGTACCTATTACATCACCACCTACTGCTGTATGCTGCAGCCTTCAATCCAGTTTAACACAAGTCAAATTAGCACCCCTACATGCTAAACAACTCCGAATCGTGTCTTGAGGGCAGAAAGCAAGGATTTCTTTTTCTAAACTAGCTGGAAAGGCCAACTTTCAAAAAGAAAACGTCACATTTTGCGTTCATCCCATGCAGTCTTGTTTTTCCTTTCCTTTCCTTTCTTTCTTTCCTTCCCTTTCCTTTCTTTTTTCTTTGCTTCTCTTTTCTTCTCCTTCCCTTTCCTTCCCTTTCCTTTCCTCTCTCTTTTTCTTTCTTGAACTGCTCACAAGTGCTAATGCAGGACACAAAAATCCAAGAATGCCCAACACAATGTCTGACTTTGTGGAAATCTGTGGAATTCAGGCTTTTGCTCTATCCAAGCGACACGGTTTACAGTTTGCTGGGTGCAAAAAAATTCCCTTCATGGAAAGCCAAGAGAGTTTGTTGCATGGGAGGTTTCAGAAATGGAAAAATGAAAGAATTTATGGGGGGAACACATTTAGCAAATCAAAGGGCTAAGTCTTTAATAAGGGGAAAAATGTTGAAAGGGACACACAACGTCCAGAAAGCAAACGATTTTGTGTTTCAATTGAAAAGGTCACTTTAAGAAATCGCAATACATTGCTTTACTTGAGACGGCAGAAGTCACAAGTGCTCACAAATACTGACACAAGCCCTTAAGGGTACAGTAGGTTTGTAATCTCCGTGTATGTCAGACATTCACTTATTAGGGATCACAGCTCTTTCCCCACTTGTGTATGGTGAAGGATTAAGGATACAGATCTTTTCTGCCTTTTGTATCTTCCGCGGTCACTTAATTCAAGGACTGATGCGGCATCCCAGGGCTGCAGCTCGTTTCGAGTCTGTGTTCACCCTTTGGGCTCAGTTCCCTGCATGTAACATTCACGATATTAATAATAATAATTAAAAAAAATTGCAAAGGCTCCAGACCAGAAGTTTTGCGATCATAAATCCGGGGACTGCCAATGCTCTGCTCCCTGCCTTAGCCTCATCTTTCTCGCCGTGCCTTCAGAAACAACAGGTGGGAGGATGTCAGAACAATTTTGGATGGTCCTGAGTTAATATGCAACAAAGAAAAGTTGCTTGTGACTCAGGTCTTTTATAGCCCCGAGGAAGGCTTGGTCTTTTTCACGCCAGCAAAGCACTCCCGCTGCTCCAACAGAGGATGCGAGAGGAAAGAGAATTGCCCCGAGGTGGATGACAGCTCACCTAGGTGCGAAAACCTCTGACCTTCGCTAAACGTAAGCAAGCTTTAGGTTTAGCTGATGTCCTTTCCCCCCCTTCTTGTGAGGTGCACGCAGGGTTTGTTTCGTGTGTGTGGGTGTGTGTGTGTGTGTGCGCGCGCGCCCATCGCTTTCTACACCCTCTAGGATTCACAGGAGCGCCCTGCTTGCTTTTTTGGATGAATGCAACTCGGTCCCCAAAGACTTAAACAACTCAGACTCTTGCCTGAGTGTGACAGACAAGCAAGTGTGTGTGAGTGTGTGTGTGTGCGCTTTATACATGGTATCATTGACATTTCTGACCCATGAGAGTTTTAAAGGTAGGGTGCCTGATCCAAAGTCCATTCAAGTCAAAGGAACCCTACCCCACTTATTGAATGCAGCAAGTTTTGAATCACCCCCATCAAGGGCATGTAACCATTCTGGGCCAGCCTCTGATACCCTTCCTGCATGGCTCACTCTAGGAGCTCCCACTTCCCCTGCAGGCCTGAGGTTATTGATGCACCTAATAAGTGAGGGTATATCTGCATCTGGCTCCTTGAAAGGGAAATGGACATCTGCCTGACTAGGGATTCCGGCTACTTCCCTGCGCTGCACCCCCCTCTTGTGTGAAAGACACTGGAAAAGAAAGATCCCAAGGCAGGTCATAGTGGGGATGCTATTCCCAAAACTCATCATTAGAATTAAGAGGCTTAGGAGAGGTGTTCTGCTAACAAGCCATTCAAAGGAAAAGGCTCCTACTTCAGGGAGCACAGACTAATGGTTAGAGTAGGTGTGTAAGAAGCAGCCCTTCATGGTGCTATTGCCCACATGGCACTGATGCATTTTGTTCCCTTGGGGAAGTTACAGTCTGTGGTTCACTTCACCTGCCCTTCTGCCACATTAATATGTTCCTAAATTCTATGGATCTGTTATGATTAGAAATTGGGAGGTTAGATTAATTTGTAAATAACTGACTAAATATTGCTGGTTAATGTTTGTAAAGTACATAGTGCAAATGACAGCCCCTGAGCCACAGTGATTACAGCCTAAGGTTGCAGTCCTGCAAACATGCAAGTGGGTGCATCTACATGAGATGCTAACTGCATGGTAGCCTAGTAACACTGCACAGTAGTGCATCACAGCATGGACAGTGCTAATATGCTACTATGCAGGATTATTAAGCTATTGCTCAGTAGTATCAATAAAATGGCATTCACTGGCATTACTGTACAGTAACTCTGGTTACTGCATATTTATCTAGTACTTGATTATACAAGTACTACAAGAAATGTGCAGTAACCACTGTGTATTAATGAATGTATAGACACACCCGGTAGATATTTAACTCTGGGTACCTATTGAAGCTTGAGGTTAATACTGTGCATGAAGGCTCAGGTCCTCAAAAATATTGAGTTACCTAACTCCCACTGAAAAAAAATGGAGTTAGGTCCTGAAGTACCTTTGAGGATCTGGGACCCTATGTTTGCAAGAGCAGATCATGTACTGTGCTTCAGACAGTTAAATGAATGTTGCCACAGTGCAATTCATTAGTATAATAACGGATAAGGAATGTAAAGTATAATAAGAGATAGTTTAATCAGTCTTTATTTCCATTACCACTTTGAATAAAGGCTTCCCTGGCAATAAAAGTGATAAGATTCCAACCAAAGATAAAGTTCTGAAATCTGTCTGTTAATTTGCTATATTTATACATAAACATCTAGGGTTTAATTTATATGAAGAAGCCTTAGTATTATGACAATTAGTTCATTAAATTCATCTTCTACATGGGAATCCCATTCAGCATCATGACCTCCACATAACCCACTGTAAGTCTGATGCTCCATTGTCCTGCACTTGTGCATTTATTTTAAAATGAGTGTGCTGCCAAACTAGAATGGGAATTCATAGCTACTTTGCACAGGTAACAAAGATCAGGTTACAAGGCTATGCAGAATCAGACCCTCTATCCTTCTAACTGGAGTTCATTATTTTTATAACAAGGAATCCACAATTCTTATGTAGTCAGTGAAAATGACTTGGCTTTGGTTGCTTTATTTATTTGCATGAGTATGAATTTCAGTCTGGATAGATTTATAGCATCCATTCTCATAGAATAGGTGTTCATCACAAACACTGATTTTTTTTATGTTTATCATATTCCTCTGAAGTACAAAAGTGTTGGTATCCCCATTTTAGAGACATCGAGTGACTTATCCCAAGTCATCCAGGAAGTCTGTGTCAAAGTCAGGAGCCAAACCTCAGCCTCTTGTATCCCAGTCCTGCATCTTAACCATCAGATCATCTTTCCTCCCATGGTTACCTGACAAGTGTTGAACTCCAGGGGATTCCAAATGGTCTCACCTTTCATGTAGTGTATGGGAGCTGAGGGTGTTCAGAGCATAAATAACTTTCTTTTTATGAATCTCCCACAATCAAGCACTGAATCATTGCCAGACATCTATTGGACCTTATATCAAGCCATCATTTGTGGTAATATCTTAAATCTTAAAACAGGACTGTGTCTCTTGTTCAGCCCCGTCTCTCTCCTGAGAAACAGACCTAAGTATCACAATTCAGAACCATTTCCCAATTCCAAACTCCTAAGGTGAGAAATATAAGAAAAAGACACAAAATTCAGATCCATTCCTATGTTCAGATCCATTTGAAACCCACTGCATTCTGGGGTGCTTAGCTCCATTGCTAATTAATGTGTGCTTGTTGCTTTATACAAATATATAAACCTCTCTCTCTTTCTCTCTCCCTCTCTCTCTATATAGTATATGTATACAACTATATATATACAATATATATTCTATACCTATTCATTACTTCAAGGCAAGAACAAAGTAAACAAAATGCAATAGAAAGAAAGGAAGTTATTCTGGATTTACATTAGTGTAACAGAGTAATTTGATTCTCTGGGTGTATTTCTAGAGATGTAGGGATCCATAAAGCCAATTTGAAAATCATTTTATTAGTTTATTAATCTGCTAAATAGAAGTAAATGAACCTAAAAGATAGCTCTCATGAGCTCTGCTACTAAGCAAAACATTGTACCAAGACCCTTTGATCTGAATGGATGGGGAGTGGACTGGAAGGGGCCTGGTGCTCACAGTTTGTATAGCATTGTTTGAGAAAATTCTCTTTCACCATGCTTGTATGTATTTAAAACAATGCAAACAAGCAATCCTATTCCCTGCTTCCCCCTTGCACACACCCCTTTTAATTATTATTATTTTGGAAGACACTACTAGAAACCTGCCAAAGAGACTCGCCTGACAAAGCTTTCTCACGTTCACGTCTGGCTGATTCTCTATGTCAAAGGGGGCAATGGTCCTGGGAGAAGAGGCCGGACTGGAATGTGGGGCAGTGCTGGGGGCGCAAGTCCA